TTGTGCATTAAATATGTGAAATCGGCGGAAATTATATATGGGAGCTATATCCAAATCTGAACCGATTTCAATATAATTTGGGAAATCAATTTTTTAGATAAAATCTATCACACGTTTCAAATTTCATTGAAATTGGGGATACATAGCGTGTTTGGGGCATCAAATGATTGAAATCGGCCGAAAATATATATGGGAGCTATATCCAAATCTGAACCGATTTCAATATAATTTGACAAATTTATTTTCGGATCAAATCCCGTCACACACTCCAAATTTCATTGGAATCGAACATTCATATTGTGTTTGAGGCATCAAATGAACGAAATCGGTCACAAATATATATGGGAGCTATATCTAAATCTGAACCGATTAAAATAAAATTTGGCAAACTTATTTTTGTTCCAAATTCCGTTACGCATTCCAAATTTGGAAACTGTATCTTTAACCGATCAATAGATATGTGCATATAAAATTTAAATTTTGGGAGGTACCTCCGATTTTGATGCTATATCTCCAGTTCCAAGTGGAAATTCAAAAATGTATATAGCCTACGTTACTTTCAGGCGATGTTGCAGTATATGTGGAAATTTTCAGGAAAATCTATTCAGCGGTTTTCGAGTCCATAAATTACAAACAAACAAACAAACATACAAACATTTTCCTCTTTTATAGATATAGATAGAGTATAAACCTAAGCACACATTCTAATTGAATTGGAGCCCAATAGTGTCAAAAATATCAAATAAAAACCACCAATCCCACGGCAGCGAGTTCTACGACACCGGATTGACCCGAAACAACAACACTCCAGTTTCGGCCAGTGGCTGCCAACACAGTGTATACATGTTCGTGTTTGTTTATTTTTCTGTATTGGGAGCAGCACATCCCGGAATGCTTGCTCCGGATTCTTTTGGTCCGTGCCGGGCTTGAGGAAAACCCCGGACCATGGTTCTGTACGGTTTGCCAAAACACCATCCACCATAGATCAGTCTCGGTGCGATGTAATGGATGCAGAGGATGGGTGCATTTTAGGAATTGTTCCGGTTTAACCCGGTTGCGAGACTATAGCGATAGGGACTATGTTGCTTCGTGCTGTACCAACGTAGTCCCCAGTGAGTCCACGACCTCGTCGTCAACTTTCGAGTCGTCGTCGGAGTATGGAACTCCCCCGCAGTCTCCACAACAGCAACCTTTACCGCAGCACCTAACGCCACATGTTGCTGTTCCAATTCCGGACAATGCATCATTCTTGCAGTTCAATTGCAACGGACTCCGAGGTAAAATTGGTGAGATAGTGGAATTTATGAATCGGAGGAATATTAAGATCGCAGCGGTGCAGGAAACCAAGCTCAATGAAAATTGTAGCTTACAACGTTGCAATGGTTACAACGTATTGAGGAAAGATCGCACCAGAAGTGGAGGTGGGGGATTAGCGTTCCTGATACACCACTCTGTTCAATACAGACCTATCTCGCTTGAGCTAGTCTCTAGTGACCCGTACATGGAGTGTATGGGGGTAGCAGTCAAGTGTGGTACTGCCGAGGTAGAGGTGCTTAATGTGTATATCCCGCCGGTTAATAGCTGTGAACCGCGTTATTGCCTAATATAAGCCCATTATTGGTAGGCAATAACCGCCTGGTACTAGGGGACTTCAATGCCCACCATGAGTTGTGGCATTCCGTCCTAGGTAATGACCAGAGGGGATCAGCGTTGGCAGAGCAGATTGACTGCTCCACATTTTGCACGGTAAACGAGGATGCCCCCACCCGAATAAGAGGAGAGTGTCACAGTTCGCCAGATTTAACCATCGTGTCACCCGGTCTGATAAATGACGTGACTTGTCAACCCGTCATTTTTCTTGGCTCAGACCATCTCCCGATAATCGTCTCCATCAGCAGATCGCCCGATTTCATAACCTCTGAACGCCGCACTTTAATTAACCATGGGAAAGCCCACTGGCCCGAGTTCAGAGTTCACAAACCTTCGCTTCAGAGAACTGCCCAATCCTTCTGATGTTTGGGTTGCTGAAAGGATTTTCCGGGACATCATCAAAGCTGCAGCCGCTCGCTATATACCTGCTGGTTGAATACCCGAAGTAAGACCAAATTTCCCAGCAGAGGCAGCGGGATTAGCGAATGAGCGTGATGAGCTCCGACGTACCAACCCTACTGATCCCAGAGTCAGTGAACTGACAGTGGAAGTCAACCGGTTGGTACAGGAGCATAAGCGGAAAAAGTGGCTAGACCATCTGAAGTGTTGCAACATTGGAACCGATTTGAGTAAACTGTGGGTAACGGTAAAGTCACTCTCGAACCCTGGAAAAAAGGATGATAGGACAGCAGTCACATTTAACGACGTAACTGTGACTGATCCGAAGAGGTGCGCTGGCTGTTTTAACCGCCAATTTGTCGAGCACCCCGAGAGTGATAGGGCGAGGCGAAGAGTACTACGTCGTGTAAGAGCTCTTCCCGCCGAGGATGTACCTCCACAGTTTACGATGGGTGATGTTGCGAATGTCATCCGAAACGCTAAGTCATCTAAAGCGTTGGGCCCGGACGGAATATCAATGGTAATGTTGAAGCAACTGGATACGCCGGGAGTTGAGTATTTAACCAGAGTCCTAAACTTGTCGTTAGCCACTAACATAGTTCCCGAAGCCTGGAAAATGGGCAGGGTGGTCCCGCTACTGAAGCCTGGCAAGGATGCCAGCCAAGGCGAATCATACAGGCCAAGCTATTCAGTTGCTAACCATCAACACGGTTTCCGTCCACTACATAGCACTACAACAGCATTGCACGCCATATCCACACATATCAGTCGAGAACTCAACCAGACAGGCCGTGCCACAGAACAGTAGTGGTGGCTCTCGACCTATCAAAGGCATTTGATACGGTCAACCATGCCACGCTGTTCGAGGACGTTGAGAACACTACCCTCCGGCCAAGTTTGAAACGTTGGATAGTCAACTATATGTGTGGACGCAGGTCGTACGTGGAATTCCGGAATAAGAAGCCCAAGCCTTGTAGAGTGAAACAGGGAGTTCCCCAAGGTGGGGTGATATCTTCGGAACTGTTTAACCTCTGCCTTTCCGGAATTCCGCACCGTCCAGACGGCATCGAGATCGTAACTTATGCGGATGATTGTACGATCATGGCGTCGGGTCCTGTAGTTGATGACATATGTGTCAGGGTGAATAACTATCTCGCGGAGCTTGCCGCCTTCTTCCACGCGAGGAATATGAAAATATCCGCCACTAAATCGACGGCCACACTATTTACTACATGGACTGCGGAGATGAGAACACAGCTGAATGTGCAGGTCGAGGGGCATATAATTCCGACCACCAACTACGCCAAAATCCTTGGGGTCACATTCGATAACATGTTCAAGTCTTCCGCGCTATCCACAGCTATTTGCGATAAAATGAAAGTAGGAACAAAGTCCTCAAGGCGCTAGCCGGCAGCACTTGGGGTGCGGATAAGGAAACCTTGTTAACCTCTTATAAAGCGATAGGTCGGTCTGTGGTTAGCTATGCGGCTCCAGTGTGGTCGGCGAATACAAGTGCAACGCAGTGGAAATGTATTTAGACCTGCCAGAATGCTGCCCTGAGAACTGCAACAGGGTGCCTCCTCATGACTCCTGTGGACCATTTACATGAGGAGACGAAGGTTCTTCCCTTACGTCAGCATAATCATATGCTTTCGTTGCAGTACCTGCTTGGGTGTTATCGTGGGAGTCACCCTAACTACCATATGGTGGATAGAACTCCCCCACCCAGGCGTGTCGGGAAGGACCTGCACGATCTAGAGAGAGAGGTCCAGCGATATAAGAGAGAGCCTCTAGATCATGAAGCCTATCAAGCGGGTCTGAATAGCATTCATACTGATGCAGTCGCGGAGGTAGTTAATAATTACAGTATGAATGCCATACTCGGAGTCCCCCATCCATTGCAGCTGAAGAACGTAAACTAACCTAGGCAAACCAGGGTAGTTTTGGCCAAACTAAGTTCAGGATGGTGCAGCCGTCTCAATTCGTATTGGGCACGAATTGATGAGGATGTGCGGAACGCCTGCCCAGCGTCCGATACAGGCCCGCACAACACGCTGCACTTGTTTAATTGTCCAGCCAAACCTACCCAACTCCGTCCAGAGGATCTATGGCTACAGCCCATAAAGGTAGCAGAATTCCTAAACATAGACATTGAGGAAGAACCGGATTAGTCGGAAAAAAAAACAACGGAACATGTAAAACTGCAACAACAACAACCATAAAATGTATGGAAAAAAATATAAATAAAAAATATAAATAAAAAATATTAAAAAAAAAATGTATGGAAACATCATGAGAGCTGCAGCCGCTCGCTATATACTTGCTGGTCGAATACCCGAGATAAGACCAAACTTCCCAGCAGAGGCAGCGGGATTAGCTACTACCCTACTGATCCTAGAATCAGTGATTTGACAGTGGAAGTCAACCGGTTGGTACAGGATCATAAGAGGAAAAAGTGGCTAGACCATCTGAAGTGCTGCAACATTGGAACCGATATGAGTAAGCTGTAGGTAACGGTTAAGTCGCTCTCGAACCCTGGAAAATAGGATGATAGGACCTCAGTCACTTTTAACGACGTAACGGTGACTGATCCGAAGAGGTGCGCGGAATATTTTAACCGACAATTTGTCGAGCACCCCGAGAGCGATAGGGCGAAGCGAAGAGTACTACGTCGTATCAGATCTCTTCCCGCCGAGGAGGAACCACCACAGTTTACGATGGGTGATGTTGCAAATGTCATCCGTAACGCTAAGTCATCCAAAGCGTTGGGCCCGGACGGAATCTCAATGGTAATGTTGAAGCAGCTGGATACGCCGGGAGTCGAGTACTTAACGAAAGTTTTCAATTTGTCGCTAGCCACCCACATAGTGCCCGAAACCTGGAAAATGGGCCGGGTGGTCCCGCTACTGAAGCCAGGCAAGGATGCCAGTAAAGGCGAATCGTACAGGCCGATTTCGCTTTTGTCGCCAGTAGCTAAGACTCTTGAGGCTTTACTCCTCCCCAGCATTAGAGGAAGCTATACAGTTGCCAACCACCAGCATGGATTCCGTCCACAACATAGTACCACAACAGCATTACACGCCACATATTAGTAGAGGACTGAACCAGAACAGGCCGTGTGACAGAACAGTGTTGGTAGCCCTTGACCTATCAAAGGCATTTGATACGGTCAATCATGCCACACTGTTTGAGGACGTACAGAGAACTACCCTCCGGCCAAGTTTGAAACGTTGGATAATCAACTATATGTGTGGACGCCAGTCGTCCGGGGTGATATCTCCGGAACTGTTTAACCTCTACCTTTCCGGAATTCCTCGCCCTCCAGACGGCATTGAGATCGTAACGTATGCGGATGATTGTACGATCATGGCGTCGGGTCCAGTGGTCGATGACATATGCGAAAGGTTGAACCCCTATCTCGCGGAGCTTGCCGCATACTTCCACGCGAGGAATATGAAAATATCCGCCACGAAATCAACGGCCACACTCTTTACCACATGGTCTGCGGAGATGAGAACACAGCTGAATGTTCAGGTCGAGGGGAATCTAATACCGACCACGAACTACCCCAAGATTCTTGGGGTAACGTTCGACAGCATTTTCAAGTCGTCCGCGCAAGCCACAGCTATCTGCGACAAGATGAAAAGTAGGAACAAGGTCCTCAAGGCGCTAGCCGGCAGCTCTTGGGGTGCGGACAAAGAAACCTTGTTGACCTCTTATAACGCGATAGGTCGGTCAGTGGTCAACTATGCGGCTCCAGTGTGGTCTGCGAATACTAGTGCTACGCAGTGGAAGAATATCCAGACCTGCCAGAACGCTGCCCTGAGAACTGCGACAGGGTGCCTCCTCATGACACCAGTGGACCATCTACATGAGGAGGCGAAAGTCCTTCCCTTACGTCAGCATAATCATATGCTTTCGTTGCAGTACCTGCTTGGGTGTTACCGTGAGAGTCATCCCAACCATCATATGGTGGATAACTCTCCCCCACCCAGGCGTGTCAGGAAGGACATACATGATCTAGAGAGGGAGGTCCAGCGCTACAAGAGAGAGCCTCTAGATCACGAAGCCTATCAGGCAGGTCTGAGTGGCATTCACACCGATGCAGTCGCGGATGCTATTAGCAGTTATAAAGTGAATGCCGTCCTCGGAGTCCACCCCCCATCCATTGCAGCCGAAGAACGTCAGCTGCCTAGACAAACCAGGGTAGTTTTGGCGCAATTACGTTCAGGATGGTGTAGTCGCCTCAATTCGTATTGGGCACGAATTGATGAAGATGTGCGTGACGCCTGCCCGGCGTGCGATACAGGCCCGCACAATACGCTACACCTTTTTAATTGCTCAGCCAAACCTTCCCAACTCACTCCGGAGGATCTCTGGCTACAGCCCGTTAAAGTAGCCGAATTTCTAAACCTGGAGCTGGAACCAGATTAGCAGAACACAAACACACACATGTACTACTGCTACAACAACAACAACAATAAAATGTATGGAAAATTTCAGGGAAGTATAAAAAACCAAATTTATTTATTTTTTTTTTATTTTTTAGTTATTTAGTATTTTTTGTTCGGTAAGAAGGTTGAAGTCGATGCGGCTTATTTGGCGGTAAGTACAACAACTACCTTTATTTTATTATTCCTTTTTCCAATTCATTTTCTTTCCTTTTTCCAATTCATTTTCTTATTAGGATCTACATACTATTTTAATACTTACAATAACACCTTTGTAATTCATTTAATTAATGAATTAATTAAATAATAAAAAAAGGTACTTTAATTTTAAATTACTAAATTATGGAAAAGGCTCCAACAGAAAGCATACGTTTTATTCTTGTGTATTCGACAGAAAATGGTCTGCTTGGATTGTATTGCCGTTAAGAAACGATTACAATACCTCAGGAGGATGTGCCAGAAAATTCAATTTTCCGCCACCAGGTTTGTAATTGAAACTTCATGCATTAGAATGCTGGTATACGACAGACAATGAAACGATATCAACGCATTAAAGATCATTAAATGCATTTAGATATCGCATTCAAAAGCAGCGGGACGGATTTGTGGTGGTTGTTAACTAATTCACATTAAATTGCCGCAAACCACCTTTTATCATGTTTATCATAACTATCGGGAATTTGAAAGGTCTCAGAACGAAATTTCCATTTTATATCGACCAAAATCAAATCATGCAATATCACGCAAAAATTAGCATTTTTCGGAATTTACTGAGTTTTCCATTAAAAATTTTATTTTTGCCAAGTTTCAGAACGAATTTTCCAACTTACATCCATCAAAATCTAATCACGAGATAGCATGCAAAATTTCGCAAAATTTTCTCCGAGTTTTCTACTATGAGACTTCAATTTTTTCATTCGAGTAGCCAGTTCTCACACAAAATTTCATATAAAAAAATTAATATTTGAATTTATTATTTTCGCGAATTTTCTGGAGGCTATTTAATTTTTTTTTCATAAAAACCTTCTCATTTCAATTAGTAACAATCAGAGTTAAAAAACTAGCACCTATTTTCAATTCAAATTTATTGAGTCATTGTTTTTTTAACACGAAAATTTACAATTTTGAAGTGAAGAAAGAAATGCTTAAAACTATAATGTTTTGTTTTAATGACTAAAGCGTATTTTCAGCGTCTGGCTTTACTAAAATTTGTTAATTAGTGTTTACTAAACTAAGTGTGTATATCGTGCTTGCTAAACTAGCACCTATTGAAATTAGATTAGCCTTTCAGTGCAACTGCTATTAAATCTAGACAACCACGGCTAAAATAGCACATGATCAGCTATTTAGCTCAGCGCATAGCTATTTAGCTCGTTTTGATAAGCCCTAACCGACAGTAAAGATAAAAATTCAGCACACAAAATAAGCAATAGCTCGGATTTCGGCTGCTGCTATTTTCGTTTTAGCCGAATGAGCAGTCGAAAGATATATTTTTACGATTAATAATTTTTACAAATTAATAAAACATATGTTTTCGAGCTCGTCAGGTAATCTAAGTTTATTTTTGAATTATAACTTACCAATATTGTTTCTAAATATATTGAATAATATCTCACAAAACTAAAATTAATTTAAATTTGTAGGATTCAATAACATTTGCACATTGTCTACATATGAAAATACCAAATGGATAATGATGTATATGTAAACTCTTATTGACATCACTTTTATTTTATCTGTCAGATGTAACTTGTACATTACAATCTTTCTTAATGAAATAAACTGAATTAAATTGAAACTTCAGACTTTGAGTATACAATATTGGTGTCAGAAGTGTACAGGCACGATGAACCAGAAGCAGTTGATGCAATTCGTACGTGATGCTGTTATGGAGGCCGTTCAAACATTGCGGCGCAGTCTGTGACGTCAGAAGACATAAATACAACAAGACCGCCACGGTTTGCAATAAACGAACACAAAAGCACAGGTGGCTCAACGGTTAAGGACTATTTTGACAGATTCGATTGGGCGTTAAAATTGAGCAGATTCTAATTAGTCCTAAGAAGCCAGAAGAAATAAAATATGAAGAAATCAAAACAACATTGATAAATTATTTCGACGGGAGTATACGCCAAGAAGTAGGGGAATCGTTGGCAAATTTTTCACTGCGTTTGAAGCAAGCTGTGGCTTCGTGTGACTATAGCGGATTCATAGATAGGATGCTGATTGACCAGATGATATTTGGAGTGGAATCCCGCAATATTTGTGACGAGATTATTACTAAGCAACCAAAAAGTTTTGCGGAGGCATATGAGTGTGCCAGGCAAAGGAGTTAACCCAAGTATCAACGGGTGTAGTAAATACAGGTGAGAATATTACTACAGAACCGACATGCAAATTGTGATTCATACCTGTCAAGACGAAAAATGATGTGAAGCAGAAGTCGAATAAAACTACAGAGGTGAGATGTTATGGTTGCGGTGGTCGACACGTACGGAAGGATTGTAAAATCAAAAACGCAAAGTGTTTTTCATGCGGCAAGATAGGCCACATAAGTAAAGTGTGCAAGTCAAATACAAAGCAGATAGAGGAGTCGTTGTTGTCAGATGAGGGTGAGGAGGCACATACGTCTCAGATTGCAACAGTCGGAACAAAAGGGCCATTCGATGGGAAAATTGTCACAATGAAGATAGACGGTCAGAAAGTGGATATGGAACTGGATACGGATGCTCATTGCAGTATTATTAGCTTGGAGAATTTAAAGAACATAAAGCAGTGTTTAAGAAAGCGGACCGGTGATTTTCAAGTCATACGGGGCACAAGATTACCGTGGTGAATGTGTCTTTGGGCATAACCAGTCGATGATGGCGATTTTGACACATTATGTGGCCGTGAGTTGATCGCACATTTTGTTCGAGAAATAAATTTTGCCGAATTGTTCCAAGACCCCATAGAAGCATCTACGGGGACGGAGTTGTCAGCAGCGGTATGAGAGAAGATTTTCATTTCATTTATTTTCATACAATTTAATATAAATAAGCCAACATGGCCAAAATCGTATATTAACATAAAACAGTATAAAAACAGCCTATAACTATATTAATCTATAAAAAAACTAAAAAAATGATCAAGGAATAGTAATATATATACAAAAATAATAATAATAATTTAAATTTAGTAGCAATTTAGAATTAGACCCTCAGACACAACTCCTCTATCAAGCTGAACAACAGTTAAGCAAGGCAGAGAGGAAAGGGGTAAGAGGCATCAAATCACTCAGGCGCTAATCATCACTCGTTTCCAACCGAGCGAATGAAGCTACTACAAGTATATCAAAAAAGTCCTTAAAAAGAGAAAGAACGATAAAATTGTGTACTCTATGGAAAATAAAAAAAAACCATAAAAATGGGCCCTCAGCCAATAACTAAAAAGAAATAACAAACAAAAAATATTCAAAACACCTCTTCCTGTAAAGTTTAAAAGAACATTCCACAATCTCGCAACTCTTTCACTCCAACTACAGACGAAAATCTTGGAAACAGCAATTGCAGATTTCAAGATGATCTACAAAATACGAACTTATTATATAAAGGAGAATTAACCTTCCTCATAATTCTGTAATGAAACAAAAGCAGGCGATATTCAACATATCTCTCAAAGGACAGACCAAGAAACTTAATAGCATACTGTGTTACACGATCACTACGGCGCAACCCAAACACATACCTAATAATAGTGTTAACAAGTTTGCGTACACGCAGAATTAGGCAAGCATTCGCCACAGAGATTACTTCCAAACAATAGTTGACATGAGACATTAATAAAGATCTAGCTACCATCATCCTAACACCAAGAGGCAAATGAGCTTGAAGACTATAGAGCCTCCTTATCTGAAAACGCACACGAGATAGCAAAGAATCAACATGCGCCGAAAAATTAAGCTTGATGTCAATGACTACACCTAAACATCTCATTTCATCCACAACATTAATTACAAAGGAGCCAACACAGATGCACGGCATAGGAACATAACGAGGACTATTAAACAGAACAGATTCAGTTTTATTCCAATTCACAGACAAACCATTAGAGGAGATCCACATAGACAGCAATCCCAACGTAGTGTTTTCCACATTTTCCAACTCAAAGAGATCTGCATTTCTAAAAAAGACATGAATGTCATCTGCATACATGAATACTGCACACCTGGAATTAGACACAGACCCCCTAACGTCATTAATGAACATAATAAAAGCAGAAGGCCAAGCACAGACCCTTGTGGAACACCACACCGCACTGCACAGACAATTATTAAAAAAAAACATTAAATATAGGCCCAATATATTCATATTTTCCTACTAAAGCTATCTATCATTTGTTTTCTAAATGTTAACAGAACAACAATGCCTACGTCCATCACGCATGTCTACATTCGTTGAAGTCTCATCAACGACTGAGATCACCGCAAACGTACTGTTTTGTGCATCTATGTCCTAGAACAACGCCGAAACCCGAACTGAACTACTCAAATCCTTACGGGCATCCAGAAACTCAACAATAGCATCCTTAATAACATGTTCAACTATCTTCGACATAGCCGGCAGAATGCTTATTGGTTCAACTATCTTCGACATAGCCGGCAGAATGCTTATTGAATCTGTTCTGTTTCTGCTAATAAGAACTCCCCTTCTGCGGCACTGGCACTACACGAGCAACCTTCCACGCAAGCGGAAAGGTTGACGTCATAAAAATACAATTTACAAAATCGAGAAAGTGACTACAAATGTAAGAGAATACGCATTTAAAGAACTTAATAGGTATGCCATCAACACCTGCAGCATTTGGTTTAACATTCCGCAAAGCAAGAAATAAATCTTCCATGTACACACAGTCAAATCTAAAAGAATCAAACCATTGGCCTCACTAAAAATAAAATCCCGAGGAGAACTTAATTTACCAACACTACAAAAGTAATTATTAACAGCATTGACATCGATAAACGGGAAATCACAACCATCATAAAGACAACCAATCGACTTTAAGGACTTCCATATCTGCACACTACTCATACGTCCAAACATTTCCTCATAAAATTTCCTTCTTTCATTACGCATGACAGCCTTACAGCGGTTTCTATACATACAAAATATCTGCCTGTTGCGAACTGTAGGACGCCTACGACACTCCAGATAAGCCAGATCCCTAACGTAACAGGCCGACTTTACCACATCCAACCCCAACAAACATCATTTTTTGGGCGAGAACAGCTGGTAGCAGTAGGTACAAAAGACAACATATTTTGAAACAACAACTCAAACAAAGGCAACTGTTGGTCAACATCATTCGTAAGATACAAAAGACTAACATCAAAATTGCAAACATAATTTTCCACACTCCGCCAGTCAGTCCTACGAAAATCCAGGAACTCAATAACCTTTTCTTCAGCAAGAACCGGGAGTTCAACCCCTCCAAAAATCAATGCGTGGTGGGAAATACCAGGGCACTACCCCTGCAAGGAAAAATTCAGAGTCAAGGCATCAGACACCAGGCAAAAGTTAATTAATGAGGTAGTGCTACGAGCAACATCAAGGTGAGTCGGACTGGAATTGTGACTGGAAAGCCCAAGAGATCTGCACAGTCTTCGCATTGATAAATAATTCAACGGTTTAAACAAATTATAGTTAAAATCACCATAGACAACAATGTTCGCATATGAATCAAAAATGCCCTCATGGATAAGACAAAATGAGACAGTAAAGAGCACTGTAGTGCCGCCCAGGAAAAGCTCAGCAGACAAAGACTCACACACCATAATTCTCCGAACGGTAAACAACCTTATATAACAAATTATCACGTACATATAACATTACACCTCCACCAATGCGGCCAACACGGTCATTACGCAGAACCAACAACGACTTCGAAGACACTGCAGGGTTAAGCCAAGATTCAGTCACTGCAAAAACATCAATTCCACTACCAACAAGCAGACATTTCAACTCATCAACTTTATTATTAATCTAGATGGTCGCAAACTTTGACAATTCAAGTGACCATACCGTGGAAGCAACAAGGAGCGTGCCTGAAAAATAGAGCATCCCTGATCACGGGTCCGAGATTCCCATCAAGGGGCATAGAAATCAAAGAAAAAAGGCTGGGGAGCATAGTTATAGAAGTTCGAAAAATCATGGAAGACAATAAAATAAGAATAAATACAATAAAATAAATATATAATAAAGGAATAACAAAGGCATAGTTATATTAACAATTCACTTGGCCTAAGAAAAATAAAAAAATCAAAAAATAGTGAGATCAACAAAACTAGCATACCTTAAACATCTAAACAAACAACTATTATACAGCCACTTACTGCACAAAAAGCTCACACTGCTCAAACATCGTTTTCACTCCATCAGGAAGAACCACTTCAACCAAAGGCTGGTCACCATTGACCATTCTCTTCCTCAGCAAACCACGACAAGCAAACACCAGCTTCGAAGTTGACTTAATCAGGTGATCATTTATGTACACACGGGATTCAAGAAGACAATCCTCCATTACTTCCTTCAAAAGTATACGCCCCTTTTGGCAAAATTTCGCACCAAAGCATCTCTGTCCTGAATGGAGTTAAACTTAACAAGAACAGCTCTACGATCCGAGATATAACAGCAATGATGCAAGTCCCGAGGCCCCAGATGTAATCCACAAACCTTAGCAACAACCTTAACAACTTCCGCTCTAATAATATTATTAGACAGGCCTATGATAATTACATCTGGACGGTCCAGTCTGTGCTGGAGCATAACAAATTCCAAATGACGAATTCTACCCAACAATCTCTCCTCCATACTTGCAGCAGTGCTCTTCACTTCACTAACAGCTGACTTCAGTTCATCCACCGATCTGCTGAGTACATTCAAACTGCTTTTCACCTCAGAAATTTGAATACTATACAACTCAAATAGTGCATCAGCTTTGGCTTTGAATTCACGCACACACTGGTCCATGTAGATATTCATCTGTTTCTTCATGGTCAAAAGCAAGTCATCTTGCCAACG